CCTCTTCACGGATTCCGTCAGCAGTCTTTCTTGGAATCCGTTTCCAAGAGACAACAGTTTGCGAGCACGCACCCGACGATGCAGAAGCTGAACGTCTTCCTGTCCAAGTTGCTGCTGCCAGGCCCGTAATCTGTCATGCGCCCCTGTACCGCCTCCTCATGCTGCTGCCAGGTCCAGAGTGTGTCATGGGCCCCCGTACCGACTCCTCATGCTGCTGCCAGGCCCGTAATCTGTCATGGGCCCCTGTACCGCCTCCTCATGCTCCTGCCAGGTCCAGAGTGTGTCATGGGTCCCTGTACGGCCTCCCATTGCTGCTGCCAGGCCTGTAATCTGCCATGGGCCCCCCGTACCAACTCCTCATGCTGCTGCCAGGCCCGTAATCTGTCATGGGCCCCTGTACCGCCTCCTCATGCTGCTGCCAGGTCCACAGTGTGTCATGGGTCCCTGTACGGCCTCCCATTGCTGCTGTCTCCATCGCCACAACTCTGCCATGTGCCACTTTCAGGTCTCCTCAAACTGCTGGTGGGTTCCATTTTGTCATAGGGTGCTGTATGGCCTCCTATTGCTGCTGCCAGGCCCGTAATCTGCCATGGGCCCCCCCTACCGACTCCTCATGCTGCTGCCAGGCCCGTAATCTGTCATGCACCCCTGTACCGCCTCCTCATGCTGCTGCCAGGTCCAGAGTGTGTCATGGGCCCCCGTACCGACTCCTCATGCTGCTGCCAGGCCCGTAATCTGTCATGGGCCCCTGTACCGCCTCCTCATGCTGCTGCCAGGTCCAGAGTGTGTCATGGGTCCCTGTACGGCCTCCCATTGCTGCTGCCAGGCCCGTAATCTGCCATGGGCCCCCGTACCGACTCCTCATGCTGCTGCCATGCCCGTAATCTGTCATGGGCCCCTGTACCGCCTCCTCATGCTGCTGCCAGGTCCACAGTGTCTCATGGGTCCCTGTACCGCCTCCCATTGCTGCTGTCTCCATCGCCACACTCTGCCATGTGCCACTTTCAGGTCTCCTCACACTGCTGCTGGGTTCCATTTTGTCATAGGGTGCTGTATGGCCTCCCATTGCTGCTGCCTCCACCGCCACACTGTGGCTCCACACTCTGGTTTTGGCCCCGTGACTGCCCAAATGAGTGAAGTGTGCGGTGATTCTAAGATCGACGGCACTCATCTGCATGTCATACTGACTGACAGTATTATTTCTCTTCCCCAGCAGACTCCAAGGGCATTTAAATTAAAGGTACAGTGTTCTGCACTAATATAAAGGCTCTCTGAAGCCTAGAAACACCCTTTTATAAGTTAAATTCGCAGCGAATATATTTGACTCGAATCGATTTTTTTCCACGAATTCGCCGAATCAGTCGAATCGAATTTTTGAATAATTCGCTCATCTCTACTGATAACCTCTCATAACAGGTATAGCAGGTGTTCAGATCCAGAGCTACTTGCAGGGACAGTAGAAGCCCCTAATAATGGGCTCACTGGGTGTACACACCTGGGACCTCAACATAAAGATCTCAACAATAGAACCCAGAGGAGAAAGAATAAACTGGCAAGTGGTTTGGCTCGCCAGCACCTACTAACGGAAATATCAGTTTTGAATGAACTGACCCTTGAAATATATGTCCATTCCTTACATGGCCTATATTGATATTGCTGAATAATTTTCAGAACATGTTAAGAGTTGATGCTGATTTGATAGGATTTGTGCAAACAATATTTAATTACTGTATGCAGGATAGTGTGTCCTTCATGCAGGCAATTTAGCATACTTAAATGGAACACAGTTGTGCTTTAACTGTTCTGAATTCAAATGCATGTGTATAGAGACCATATCAGAGCTCTCTTTAAAGGTTGTTCTGAATCTTTTTTTCTGCAGGTGACTTTAAGGGAGATGTGTTGATTGACATCACCATTGGTCCCATCATTCAACATCTCTATGCAGCAATGGAATATTTCAGAGATATCATCCTTCTCAAGGCTACTGACCACTGTATTGTAGAAGTGAAAAAATGGACGGACTGCCGAACCGGAGCATTTGATTGGTCGCATACCATTTCACTTGCTTCAAAGCTGGGAGGAAAGAGGTGATGTATCTGCCAATATTTTGACAGATCCAAGCTGAATGTCTGGTGTATTGTTGGGAGGGGGACCAGACATGAGTTTTAAAACATTTCTATTTTTTGTAATTAGCCGTTTCAGCTTGTGTGAAGATTTGTAAATCTGATTAATCAGATTAAGTTGGATGCCTTAATACTTTCCTAACATCAAATGTAATAATGCTAAAAGAATCTTTTGTTTTGACATGTGGCATGTGATTCCCAGCAAAAGAGATGGCGGGGAGGAGAGAGAAGACAGGGGAGAAAATGGGAAAGAAGGGAATTGGTAGAGCAGGTAGAGAGGGGAACAGAGAATAGGCGAGGACAGGAGATGAAGAGAGGAGGCGAGGACAAGGGTACAGAGCTGCCTACACCCACTTCCCTCTGCTAGAAACTAATTGAATGCTGGATAGAGGCTTTTTTTAGTGCCGGGTGGCAGTGAGCATTACAATAACTGGCACACCGCTGCCACTCTGCCTGTTGAATTGGGGCACCGTGTAAAGTGGTGCTATCCAATACAGATCACTCTCCTAATGTGTGCAATGAGTGCACATTGGGGCTTATCCCCCTTGGGCCCATGTACACTGCACACAATATGAATGGGAATGGAGTAGAGGAGAAGAGTGGGGAAAAGGGGAAAGTAGAGAGAAGAGAAGGAGAGGAAAATAGAAAATAGGGGAGTAGAGGTGAAGAGAGGAGGGCAGAGGAGTGGAAAAGAGGGCAGGGAAAATGAAGAGAGAGGAGAGGAGAGAGTTTCTAGATTCACAATAAAAAATCCAAATGCTCACTATAGAAATAATTCCATTCTTCCTTTCTCCAGTCCTATGTATTAATACTAAAAATAGCCACCTATAGCCCAGTAATTTTAGCAGTTTTCATCTGTTCACACCTAATATTTTCAATGCTTCACAGAATATCAGTTGAATGTTATATGTGACATGGGATGTGCTTCTGCCTTCCAGGGACCAATGGGAGGACAAGGAAGTAAAACTCAGGGCAGCAATTACACATGTTGTAAAATTCGATCTTGACCAGGAAAATCTCACAGACCCAATTGAGCTACCGCAAGCCGACTGCTTGGTGTTTGGGTCTTCCCTGGAAGCCATCAGCAAGGACCTTGACGATTTTGTAAGAAACTTCCAGAGATTCTCAAAGCTTCTGAAACCCAGTGGTCGCCTGATATATTATGGAACTTTAAATTGCACATTCCTTATTGTTGGGGGAGAGAAGTTCCATATGTTAAAGATTAATGAAAGCAACTTGAGAAGTATGCTCATAAATGAGGGGTTTGTCATCACCCATTTGGAGGTTTCCCAAAGAAGAGCTGAGACTGATCTGATGGATTTTGATTCCATTGTGTTCTGCACAGCTTATAAAGAACAGAAGCTTTAGGCCCTGTTCACACCATTGCATTAGGAAGTTCACATGCATTTTAATCATAAAGCTTAATGTGTTTTTTTGTGCAATTTTATTACATAATGTTTAAGCATAATGCAAGACAAGGCATGTGGGCTACGTGACCTTTGCATACTCTTTATGTGACTTTTCATCTTGGGAAATGTACATTGTATTAAAATGCATATTGTGTTTTAGTGCATTTTAAGTGAGTTTTCCATGTGTTGCCATTGACTAGAATGTAATGCCCATTTTAACCAAAAACTCACAAAAGATGCAGAAAACAGAATTTGTCAAAACATAACGCACTGCCTTATAACAGCACATTGATATGTAGAGCTTCACAGATTATAATGGCAATTAGAGTTTTCATGCGCTCAGCACACTGTGATCCTGCGTTGTAGGGCATATAAATAAAACAATGATGTGAACGGGCCCTTAGGTAGCAAATAGAACTCAGAAACATATTTCAGGATGCCATTTATAGTATGTACTGGTCAAAGTGTTGAGACAGTCTCCTGGACATAGAGATTGCCAACCGCAAACCTGATTCCAAAGACTGAACACCAACTTTTCATGCTGATATACACAAACTTTGGCTTTCTTTAGCAAGCTGTCAGAGATACAGAAACCCTGAAGATGTCAGATATGTGTTAGCATCTTTGATTGATGTTTGGGCTAATTAAGCTTTAAACATTTAAATAATCCCATACCCAAACTTGCGTCCACACCTTAATGTACCAACTATTTAACCCTTTATTAATGCCTAGCAACCCAAATTCATTTTCATAAACCTCTCAGTTCCCTTCTTCACCTTTCAATTTTTTTAATTGATTTTGTTTTTACTATTCATATCTAATCTTTTTATGTCTGTCCATTTTGCTCATTCAATTTTGTAGCTTTTTTAAACACCTTACATAAATACCTAAAATAAAAAAAATAAAAAAAGTTTCTACATACTATATTTTTATTTGCAATGCAGCAATCCTCCAGCGTGTTTTTTATTTTCAGATGTGTGTGATACATTTAAATGTTTATATAGTAATAAGACTTCATTAGAATGTCCCCCAGTTACATTACATTTACATTGTGACTCAAGTCATCATGATTTGATAGCAGAAATTCAGGTGACTGCATTGTGATCAGCCAACAAAATACATACACTATATCGCCAAAAGTATTGGGACGCCTGCCTTTACACGCACATGAACTTTAATGGCATTCTGGTCTTAGTTCATAGGGTTCAATATTGAGTTGGCCGACCCTTTGCAGCTATAACAGCTTCATCTCTTCTGGGAAGGCTGTTCACAAGGTTTAGGAGTGTGTCTATGGGAATGTTTGATCATTTTTCCAGAAGCGCATTTGTGAGGTCAGGCACTGATGTCGGACGAGAAGACCTGGCTGGCAGTCTCCGCTTTAATTAATCCCAAAGGGTTGAAGAGCAGGCCAGTCAAGTTCTTCCACCCCAAACTCTCTCCTCCATGTCTTTATGGACCTTGCTTTGTGCACTGGTGCGCAGTCATGTTGGAATAGGAAGGGACCCCTGAAAAAGAACCCCACACCATAATCCCCCCTGCACCAAACTTTACACTTGGCACAAAGCAGCCAGGCAAATCCAGACACATCCATCAGATTGCCAGACAGAAAAGCATGATTCGTCACTCCAGAGAACACGTCTCCACTGCTCTAGAGTCCAGTGACGACGTGCTTTACATCACTGCGTCTGACGCTTTGCATTGCACTTGGTGATGTAAGGCTTGGATACAGCTACTTGGCCATGGAAACCCATTCCATGAAGCTCTCTATGCACTGTTGTTGTGCTAATCTGAAGGCCACATGAAGTTTGGAGGTCTTTAGCTATTGACTCTGCAGACAATTGACAACTTTAGTGCACTGTGTGCTTCAGCATGCGCTGACCTCGATCTGTCATGTTACGTGGCCTACCACTTCATGGCTGAGTTGCTGTTGTTCCCAGTTGCTTCCACTTTGTTACAATATCACTAACAGTTGACTGTGAAATATTTAGTAGCAAGGAAATTTCACGGATGGACTTATTGCACAGGTGGCAACCTATCACGGTACCACGCTTGAATTCATTGAGCTCCTGAGAGCGACCCATTCTTTCACAAATGTTTGTAGAAGCAGTCTGCATGCCTAGGTGCTTGATTGTATACTCCTGTGGCCATGGAGGTGATTGGAACACCTGAATTCAATGATTTGGAGGGGTGTCCCAATACTTTTGGCAATATAGTGTAATTTAACCATCTCCCACCTGCCATATAAGGCAATGAGGGGCGCAAGGTGGTTCTCTCGTCATATGACGTCCTCCCACTCAACCGGCTCCGGGAGTGCGCAGCGTGGCGATCGGTGGTGCGATGTGTCCCTCGGACACAGCGGATCACCGATCATAGGAAAGAGCCGAAGATGTCGGCTCAGTCATGTGATCAGCTGTCTCCAATCACAGCTGATCGCATGTAAATAGGGAAATGCCAGTTATCGGTGCCTACCAGTGCACAACAATGCCACATATCAGTGCCCATCTGAGCTGCCTTTCAGTATCACTGCCAGTCAGTGCTACCTATCAGTGCTGCCAGTCAGTGCCGCCTAACAGTGCCAGTCAGTGCCACCTAACAGTGCCAGTCAGTGACGCCTATCAGTGCCAGTCAGTGATGCCTATCAGTGCCATATATGAGTGCTGCCTTTCAGTGCCCATCAGTGATGCCTGTCAATAAGGTAATGACAGGCGCAAGGCGATTCTCTCGTTCTGGGAAGACGTCACATGACGTCCTCCCATTCTAACCGCCCATGCGTGGCTCCGGGAGTGCACAGCGCGGCGATCAGTGGTGCGTCGTGTCCCTCGGATCACCAATCAACAGAAAGAGCCACCACAGCCAATCACAGCTGATCACATGTAAATAGGGAAATGCCGGTTATCGGCATTTCTCTCCTCTTGAGCTGTCACGCTGACAGCTCGAGAGGAGAGGAGAGGCGGTAATTGGCATTCCTCGGAGGGGACATGTACACTGATCATCAGGGCACTGATGTTCAGTGTGAACTGATGATCAGTGTAGCCCCAGCAGTGCCACCTGTCAGTGTCCATCAATGCCAGCTGTCATTGCCCATCAATGCCACATGCCAGTGCCCATCAGTGCCTCATCAATGCCACATATCAGTACCTACCAGTGCACAACAATGCCACATATCAATGCCCATCTGAGCTGACTTTCAGTATCACCTATCAGTGCCAGTCAGTGCCAAGTAAAAATGCCAGCCAGTGCTGCCAGTCAGTGCCGCCTAACAGTGCCAGTCAGTGCCACCTAACAGTGCCAGTCAGTGCCGCCTATCAGTGCCAGTCAGTGCCGCCTATCAGTGCCACCTATCAGTGCCATATATGAGTGCTGCCTTTCAGTGCCCATCAGTGATGCCTGTCAATGCCCATCAGTGCCACCTGCTAGTGCCTCCTCATCAGTGCCCATCAGTGCAGCCTCATTAGCGCACATCAGTGAAAGAGAGAAATCACTTATTTACAAAATTTTATAACACAAACTAAGAAAAAAACATTTTTTTTAAAATTTTCAGTTGTTTTTGGGTTGTTTAGCAGAACTTTAGAAACCCAGAGGTGATTAAATACCACCAAAAGAAAGCTCTATCTGTCACAAAAAATGATAAAAATGTCATTTTTGTACAGTGTTGCATGACCGCGCAATTGTCATTCAAAGTGAAACAGCGCTGAAAGCTGAAAACTGGCCTGGGCAGGAAGGGGGTATAAGTGGTTAAAGTATATCAAAAGCTAGATTTTTTTTATTTTGTTTTGGAAAGAGTAGGGAGAAATGGTAAACGTACCTTCTGGATGGTGTAGCCTTATCACCTCTTTTTCCTGATCGCTCTACCTCTACACGCAGATCCTCTGCCTCTTCTTTTAGATCTGTTTGACTTTTTATTATTAAGAGAAATGAATAAATTGCATAAATTTAAAAGCAGCTAAGAAATAGGGAGAATAAATAGGTAGTGTTCGGTGCATATAACTTTACCTCACAAGTATGCATTGATGTTTTGCAAACAAAGGGCAGCATTGCCTGTATCAGCAAAAAGTGTACAATGTGTGCCCCAAAATAGAAAAAAGACCCTAGCAAAGTAAAATATACTTTTTGCCAAATATTTTTTTTAAAATAAACCCTGAAATAATAAACCCCATAAACCTTAGCCATATACTTTTTTAAACTAGCAGGAAAATATATATTATATTATATATATATATATATATATATATATATATATATACACACACAGCACATGTAGCACTACCCCCTTAGGAGTCGCTGAGTTTTTGGACCCCTAAATGCACAGCCAGGCAATGTGCATTTTCTTCCACACTTTGCACTCAGAGTCAGTAAACAGTCCTGGAGCTTGGTTTTGTGATTTTATTAAGGGGTTTAGAACATGGATGGGGTTGAGGGGTGTGTGGGATGCCCAAGGAAACTGCAAACTTGAGGACAAACTCTTTAGCAACTATGTACAGATGTGGCCAAAAAATTATCTTTCCTTTCCATTCCAGCTCTCTGTTGTACCTCCTCAGACCCCAGATGAATCTTCCTCCTCAACCAACTGCACTGAGGGTATTCCGTGGGCATGGGGACCCAGAAACTGTTGCTTAGCAAAACAGTCCCAGATGAGAAGCTACTTGGGTTCTCCACCTGACTGCCCTCTTCCTTTATCCGGCCCAGAGGGTGTAGGATTACTCACTCTGTCTCCCCTGTGAACTTGGTGGGTTGGTGGCTGTCCTCTCTTTGGGGATGATGAAGCAGAGAGATCCTTCTTTTCAACTCCTGCCTGCAGGTAGGCCTCTCTTCTGGGCCCCCTCCCAGGCTCCACATTCCAGCCTTCACTCCATCTTCTATCCAACACACTACCGCCTTTCACCCAGGGTCTGCGATTCATAAGGGTTGCCTTGGTCACCTAGCCCAGCCTCCTGCCAGGGTATTGGCCAAGATCCCTCAAGTATGCAAATCTGAGTTTCCTCCCCTCCTCTACCCCCCCTCCTGGAAGCTCTAAGATTTCTGGAGAGGTGGGAGGGCACCAGAAGCCCTGACCTTCAGAACCTTCCTAGCCTGTCTTGAGGAGAACGCTTGCCTCATTCACAGGCTGACTCATCCCAGCCTGCTACTCAGCCTCTGACAAAAAAAAAAAAACCTAGCTAACTTGGAGGATGTTACATCCACTACTGTGCAAACATTTTAGGAAGGAATGAAAAATGCTGCAACTTAATGCTTTCAGAGATAGAAGTGTTAATAGTTCATTTTTATCAGTTAATACAATGAAAAATAAATGAACAAAAGAGAAATCCAAAGCAAATGAATATTTGGTGTGAGTATCCTTTGCCTTCAAAACAGCATCAATCCTACTGTTCTAGGTAAACTTGCACACAGTTTTTGAAGGAACGCAGAAGGCAGTTTATTCCAAACATCTTGGAGAACTAACCACAAATCTTCTGTGGATGTTGGCTGCCACAGATCCCTCTTTCTCTTCATGTAATCCCAGACAGACTCAATTATGTTGAGATCGGGGCTCTGTAGGGACCAAACTATCACTTCCAGGACTCCATGTTCTACTTTACATTGAAGAAAGTTCTTAATGACAATGGCTATATGTCTGGGGATTTTGTCCTGACGCAGAATTTAGGACACACCTCCCTGATGGTATGGCATGATGGATAAGTATCTGCCTGTATTTCTCAGCATTGAGGATACCCTTGATCCTGACCAAATCTCCAACTCCATTTGCAGAAATGCAGCCCAAAACTTGCAAAGAACCTCCACCACGCTTCACTGTTGCCTGCAAACACTCATTACCGTACCATTCTCTAGCCCTTTGATGAACAAATTGCCTCCTGCTACAGCTAGATATTTAAAGTTTTGACTTAGTACCACTGGATTAGTGTAAGACCAATGTGGTGCCTATATTTAAAAAGAGGTCAAAATTATTACCAAGTAATTATAGACCTTTTAGTTTAACTTCTATAGTTGGGAAGATACTGGAGAGTTTAATAAAAGACCACATAGATTAGTTCTTGCTGGAAAAAAATATTTTAAGCAACAGACAGCATGGATTCATGAATAACAGAAGTTGTCAAACAAATCTGATTTCTTTTTATGAGGGGGTGAGCAAAACCTTGGACAGAGGGGTGGCTTGTGGACGTGGTATACTTGGATTTTGTATTGAACTGTATTGTTGCTGTATTGTCTCCCCTTATATTGTAAAGCGCTGGGCAAACTGTTGGCACTATATAAATCCTGTATAATAATAATAATTTTGCAAAAGCATTTGATACAGTTCCCCACACACATGGTTAATGTGTAAGGTAAAGTCTACAGGCTTGGAAAAATCTGTATGTAAATGGATAGAAAACTGGCTAAAAGATCGTATTCAGAGAGTAGTGGTTAATGATTCATACTCTGAATGGTCTAGGGTCATCAGTGGTGTACCCCAGGGTTCAGTGTTGGGACCCTTACTTTTTAATATATTTATAAACGATATAGGGTCTGAGATTATAAATCCCATTTCAGTCTTTGCAGATGACACCAAGCTGTGCAGAGGAATAACGTCCTTACAGGATGTCTTCAATTTACAAGCCGACCTCAATGCACTTTTTAATTGGGCAACTATGTGGCAAATGAGATTTAATGTCGATAAATGTAAGGTTATGCACTTGGAGGCTAAGAATATGCATGCATCATACATACTAGGGGGGGTACAACTGGGGGAATCAATGGTGGAGAAGGATCTGGGAGTTCTGGTAGATCACAAGCCTAATAATGGCATGCAATGCCAAGCTGTGGTTTCCAAAGCGAGCAAAACCCTCCCTTGTCTTAAAAGAGGTATAGACTCCAGAGAGAGAGATATCATATTCCCCCTGTACAAATCATTAGTAACACCTCATATGGAATATGCAGTTCAATTTTGGTCACCAATTCACAAAAAGAACATTGGGGAACTGGAGAAAGTACAGAGAAGGGCAACCAAACTGATAAGAAGCATGGAGGAGCTCAGCTATGAGGAAAGATTAGAGGAACTGAATTTATTCTCTCTTGAGAAGAGATTAAGGGGGGATATGATCAACATGTATAAATACATCAGTGGTTTATATAGTGAACTCGGTGTAGAGTTATTCACCTTGAGGTCATCACAGAGGACAAGGGGGCACTCTTTATGTCTGGAGGAAAAGAAATGTAATCTCCAAACACGGAAAGGTTTCTTCACAGTAAGAGCTGTGAAAATGTGGAATAGACTCCCTCAAGAGCTGGTTCTGGCCAGGTCAGTGTATTGCTTTAAAAAAGGCCTGGATTCTTTTTTGGATACACAGAATATAACTGAATACTAACATTTATAGGTAAAGTTGATGCAGGGAATATTCAATTGCCTCGCGGGGGATCTGGGAGGAATTTTTTCCCCTACTGGAGCAAATTCGATCATGCTTTGCTGGGTTTTTTGCCTTCCTCTGAATCAACTGTGGTTGTAGGATTATAACTTTTTTTCTTTTTTTTTAGCCTATGTAAGTATGTGACTTATCAGTCCAGAGCACCTGCTGCCATTCTTCTGTTGCACCCTAGTTCCTATGTTTTCATGCATAGGTGAGCCTTGTTTCCACAAAGGTATGGCTTATTTTTGCATGAAGAAACTT